TGCTGGGAACTGAACCCAGGTCCTCTGCAAGAGTAGCCAGTGCTCTTAGCCACTGAATTATCTCTCCAGCCCCCAAGTGAAATTTTTTTAAAGCTCACATTGTTATGCAACAATCACACACAGGGTTCATGCCTCTAATCCCAGTACTAAGGAGGCTGAGGCAGAAGTGGTGCCTTGAGTTCAAGGCTAGTCTGAGCTACAAGATGAATTCCAGGCTAGCCTGGGCTATAGTGTAAGACCGTCTTAAGGAAAACCAAATAATATGAAAGCAAGCAAACAAACAACAAAAACCATTGTGCAGCAATCTAGCACCAGAATTTTCAGTGCTTACAAAGTGAAATTCCGTCCCCATTACAACACTAACTTCCTGTTTCCCTGTCCCCAACCCTTGACTTTCACCGTCCTATTTCCTGTCTCTGAATGCGATCTCATGTAAGTAGAATTGGAGGGGCTGGGGATATAACTCAACTGGTAGAGTGTTTGCCTAGCATGCAGGAAGCCTGGGATTGTCCCTAACACTACACTAAACTGGGCGTGGTGGTGCATGCTGCAGTCCTGGAACTCAGGAGGCAGGAGGATCAGAAGCTCAAGTCATCTTTGACTAACTACATAGCAAGTCTGAGGCCATCCTGGACTACATGAGACCTTATCTTTAAAAAGAATTGTTTGCAGTGTATTCTTTTGGGTCTGGCTTATTTCAGGATCATGTCTTCAAGCTGGTGAGGATATGAGATTACACTTTTCATTCACGTTTCAACAGGTGTCAGGTTTTCCTTCATTTTTTCAGGCTGACTAATATTCCCTTAGGTGTATGTACAAGTGTGGATGGATGCCAGATCTGCATCCACATTCTAGCTATTGTAAAAAGAAGCTGCTATGAACACAGGTGTGTAAATATGTCCTTCGTACCTTGTTTTCGGTTCTTTTGGATATGCCCAGAAGTGGAATTCAGCATCCTGAAGGAACACTATGTTGAGTTTTTAATGTGTGTGTTCATAAGTGTGAAGGTGCATTATGGATGTGTGGATGTGTGCGTGTGCACTGATATGGGAGAGCCACCTCAGGTGTCATCCTCAGGAGCCACCCACCTCCTTTGAGACAGGGTCTCTCATTGGCCTGGAGCTCAGGCTGGGCTGGTTGGCCAGTGAGCCCCAGGATTCTCTTGTTTCCATCTTTCCAGTGCTATGATTACAAGCCAGTGTCACCAGGCAGACTTTAAAAAAAAAAAAAAAAAAAAAACAACTTGTGTTTTAGGGATCAAATTCAGGTCCTCAGTCTTTCACAGCAAGCATTTTAACTGAGCCATTCTCCCTCTGTTGCTGTTTGAGGATCTCCCTATGCTGACCTTATAGCCCAGGGAGAGTCTCCTAATACTCCTCTGCCTCCTGACCATCAGAATTACAGGTGTGTGCCACTATACCTGGCTTATGTTGACAAGGTCTCACTCTGTAGCTCTGGCTGGCCTGGAGCCCCCTAAGTAGACTAGGCTAGCCTCCAACTCACAAAGATCTTGCCTGTGTCTCCCAAGTGCTGGGATTAAAGGCATGTACAACCATGCCTGGCCCTATGTTGATCTTTAAATTTTTTTTATTTTTATTGTATGTGGGGGCGGTATGATACAGATTGTGTGTGGGGTATGATGCATGTGCAGAGGTCAGAGGACAACTTTGCAGTTTGTTGTGTCCTTCTACCTTTCCATGGCTTCTGGGGCTCGAACTTGAGTCTCCAGGCTTGCACAGCAAGCACCTTTACTTATTGAGCCATCTCACCAACCTCTTACCTTGTTGTTGTTGTTGAGGTATTGCTCTACTGTGCCCCACAGTGGCTGTGTAATCTCATGTCCTCATCAGCTCTGTGTGTATGTGGGGGGGGCAGTGTGCAGGGGGTGTGAATCTCTGTATAAGATTAATTCTTCTGGGATCCCTTGGTTTTCCCTGTCTGTTCTTAAGCCTACCTCACCTGGTCTAGCAGCTTCTCAACCAGCCTCCCACCATCACTTTGATCCCTTTCCCAGTTCAGGTCCGTGATGTCCTGAGTTCTATGTGGGTGTGCACATCACCTTCCACCTCAGTCCCCTCGGTGACTTCCTATGGCTTTTGGGGTCCTACTCAGGTAGGACCCAACATGGCCCCTCACTCCTCTTTGGCCTCATCTAGTGCAGATGACTCCATCCCTGTCACAGTGACCGTCTGTCCATCCCTCCCAGGCACCATGCTTATCCTAGGCAGGACACTATCCTCCCATGCTAGCCCCTCCCCTAGTCTGTGTCACTCATCCTCTGATGGCAGCTCGAGTGTTCTCTTCAGCCTGTTCATATTGTTCTCTCCCTCAGCCAGGTTCTCTTGAAGTTTCTCAAAGTGTATCCCTGACCCAGATCTGATGGTTCAGGTCTATAATCCCACCCAGCTCCTCTGGACTCTGAGGCAAAGTATCAAATGTTCAAGGCCTGCCTGGGTTACAGTGTGAGTGCAAAGCCAATCTGGACAACTTGGTGAGACCCTGTCTGAAAATGGGGAAATACAAAAGGGGGTATTGGGCCGGTGGGATGGCTCAGTAGGTAAAGTCGCTTGCCACCAAGCCAGGCAACCTGAGTTCAATCCCCAGGATTTACATGGTAGAAGGAAAGAACCTACTCCAGAGAGTTGTCCTCTGACCTCTCCACACATAATAAATGAATAAAAATAAAGCAGTATTTAAAATGATGAGGTGAGGACACAGGTCTGTGGTAAAACGCTTGATGCACAAGGCCCTGGACTCAACCTAAGTACTAAAAGAATAAGACTAAAATCTGAGTGGGGTGTGGTGGTGCATACCTGTAATTCCAGCACTTGGGAGATGGAGGCAGTATCAGGCAAGAGTTACAGGTCATCCTCAGCTACATAGCAAGCTTGAGGCCAGCCTGGGCTGTAGGAGACTGTCTCAACAAACAAAAGGAAAGGGCACAACTGGGTGGTCTACACCTGTAATAGCAGCATTCTAAGGCAGGAAGGTAGACTACACAGTTAGTTCAAGGCCAGCCTAGGCTACATGAGACCCTGTATTAAAAAAACAAAGGACAAACCAGATGTGGTGGTACACACCTGTAATTCTAGCTCTTGCAAAATGGAAGCAAGAGGGTCCAAAACTCAAGGTTATATTTTGCTACACTGACAGTGCAAGGGCAGCCTGGGCTACAGGAGACCCTGTCTTAACAAAGAAAGAAACAAATGGGGTAGACTTGGTGGCAAACACGTGCAACAGTAGCACTCAGAGTCCAAGGCAGGAAGAGCTTGTATTTGAAGCCAGCCTGGGCTACATAGCCAGTACCAGGCTATAGCTGTAGGCTATGAGATCCTGTTTAAAACAAAACAAGGATCAGTGAGATGGCTCAGCAGGTAAAGGTGCTTGCTGCTAAGCTTGAGGAACTGAATTAGATCTCCAGACACCCACATAGCGGAAGGAGAGAACTGATTCTCAAAAGTTGTCTTCTGACCTCTACGTGCCATGACACCTATGTATTCTCTCTCTCAAATGAATAAATAATAAAATTAAAAAACAAACACAGGCCGGGTGTGGTGGCACACACCTTTAATCCCAGCACTTGGGAGGCAGAGGCAGGTGGATCTCTGTGTGTTTGAGGCCAGCCTGGTGTACATAGTGAGTTTCCGGCCAGCTGGGACTACTAGGAGACCCTGTCTAAAACAAACAAACACATAAGGCCAGATGAGATGGCTCAGCAGGTAAAGGCGCTTGCCACCAAACCTGACAACCTGAGTCCCATCTCCGGTATGCACATGGTAGGAGAGAACTGGCTCCTCAAAGTTGTTTTCTGAACTCCATGCACGCATTGTGGCACACGTATATGCACAGTTGCACAGTAAAATAAATAAATAAATAAATAAATAAATAAATAAATAAATAAATAAATAAATGTAATTTAAAACAAAACAAAGCAGGGGTTGGAAGAGTCGATTCCCAGCACCCACATGGCGGCTACGAACCATCCTTAACTCCAGTTCCAGAGGAATCCGAAGCCCTCTTCTGACCTCCGCGGCACTGTACTACACGGGTGCACTCACATACATGCAGGCAATACACTCATACACATAAAATAAAAATAATAAATAAAATATTTTTTAGTTAAAAAAACACAAAGCACCGGATGTGGTGACGCACACCTTTCATCCTGGCATTCCGGAAGCAGAGGCACAGGCAGAGAGATCTCTCTGAGTGGCCAGCCTACTCTACATAGCGACCTCCAGGCCATCCAGGGCTACACAGTGAGACCCTGTCTCAAAAGCAACATCAGTCTGGGGAGATGGCTCAGTGGGTAAAGGAGCTTACCACCAAGCCTGAAGACCTAAGTTCGAACCACAGGAGCACGTGGTACGTTCATCCCCTCTCACACACAGCATACGAACACATACACAAAATAGATAATTGAAAAAACAGAAACAAGGGGGTAAAAAGCGAGCAAGCGAAAAACAAAACAAACAAGACAAGATAGCAAAACACAAACAAGACGAAGTGACCACAGGCGGTTCCCAAGCATCCTTGGACAAACTTGATGTGCAGTCTCAGAAGGGGAGTCCGTTCACATGTGGGTGCTTCCTACACCCCCACACTTTGGGGGTGAGGAGGTCATCTGTGCTTTTCTGTAGCGGCCAGGGTTGGAAGCCTGCAGGGATGGAGAGACAGGATGCGGTGGGGAGCCCCAAAGCTACGCGCACATCCGGAGGTCCCCCGCGCCCCGAGCCCCGCCCAGGGAGCCACTT